CCTCCTGCCTGCCGCTGCCCCCCGCGCCTGCCGCTGGACCACATGCTGGGGCTGTGTTGGCCTTTAGTGTTTGACCAAAGCAATGGGTGAGGCTCCAAGGAGAGCCATGAAGTGCTGTTCAAAACACACAAGTCAACACACAGGTAACCGCGTAACCCACACACCTCCTGGGTGTGATGGACTGTCCCATCTGGCGGCACTGAGACCACTTGCAGAGAGAAGCATGGGTCTGCCCCACAGCATTAGCAAAGAGCCCGCTGGCTTTTAGCGCCTGCGGTGGAGGCACCTGGTCTAAGCTCCTGAGGTCCCGGGTTCAATTCTGCCCATCGGTGTTATGACGCCAGCGTCTCAGACACATCTGAGTCTGCACTAAGTCCAAGCACTTCCTCTTAGCCTCCTTTCCAGCTCGCTCTTGTGCCCAGCACGGCTTCCCCTTGCACACTCAAAGGTACAGCCTGAAACCTCATCCCCTGCTTGGCAATGCGACTGCAACCTGCAGGCCCGCTGCCTCGCGAGCATGCCACCCCGGCCCCGCAGCATTCATCCTGGGCATTTATCTAGCACCGCCCACGGACATGACGCACGGCAAACACATTCCCAGCCCCGGCTCCTCCAGGCACTTACCAGGATCCATTCTGCACTCCTGGCTAGCGAGATGCCCCCGTCCTGAATACTTTTTGACTTTTGAGTATTTCCTAAAACGTGTTTTATAAAAAAATAAAACAAGTCAAGAAGCGCGCGAGGGGAGGTAACAATGAAATGGAACACGCCGAGGTGCGTTTTCTAGTGCTGGTGATCTCAGCATTCCTTATCCTGGGGCAGACACAATACACCGAGGCACAGGAAGCTAATTCAGAGGAGGGATCTCATTTGGAAGGAGCAGCCTATGCCATGGTCAGCTACTAGAGCGATGGGTACCCTGACATGCCAAATCTGTCCATTGATTCCAGTGGGCTTTGGATCAGGCTTCAAATTAGATCTGTGGTTTTCAAAGTATGGGTCGTGACCCAATACTGGGTCCCGGAAAGTCAGGCACCGGGCACTTTGCTGGAGGGTGACCATGCTACACCCCGGAAGTGGCCAGCAACAGGTCCAGCTCCTGGGGGTGGATTCTGGAGATCTAAGTGCTATCCCTGCCCTGAGCACTGGCTCCTCTCTCCCAGTGGCCGGTTTCTGGCCAATGGGAGCTGGGGGGCGGGGCAGTGCCTGCTGGCGAGAACAGCGCTCAAAGCGGTTTGCACACCTCTGCCTCGGAGCACAACCTGCCGCTGGCCGCTTCTGGGACGCAGCATGGTCTGTGGTGCAAGGACGAGCAGGAAAACTGCCTTAGCACCCCTGCAGCACCGCCGACTGGCAGCTGCTGGAAGTAAGCCTGCACCCCAACTCCCTGCCTCAGCCCTGAGTCCCCGCCCTCATTCCTGGCCCCATCCCAGAGCCCCTCCTTCTAGTCAAGAGATCTAACCATGCTGGGTTTTCTTCAATTTCCCGCAACTGGGTTGTGAGAAAATAAGTTTGAAAAGCACAGCATTAGATAGGCACCACTCTGCTACGCTTCCCCCCGACCACAGCCACGGGCGCTGCCATTTCTTTTCCCACCAGAGCTGAGTGAGGACCTATGGGCCCTTCCTGCCTCAGGAGCTGCTCTCCGCCTCCTCGTTGCGATGGCACACGCCAGTGTTTGCAACAGCCCCATCCCGTTCAAAAGCAATTCATAGCAACAGCCGGGACGACTGATCTGGACTGTACCTCTCAGGCCAACTTCCTGGCACTGGAGCTCACGCGAGGCAAGAGAGCACCGGTTCAGCCGGCCCAGCCGCCTCCCCGGCTCGTCATTGGCTGAGGAAGTCGCCAAAACCCTAAAGCACATGGGGAAAGAAGAACGGGGGTGGGGTGGGAATGAGGAAGTGGGCCCTGTTCTCATTGCATAGGAGAAGGGAGAAGAAATCTATGGAACATTATCAGCTCCAGCCAATCGTGGGACTTCCCCTGTGGCTTCCAGTGTGTCATTGCTGTGGCTGAACATCACAGCCAGGCAGACACGCTGCAGCTCAATAAAGGAAATGGAAGGTCTTTTGCTTTCACTGCGTCCTGGGCCTTCCTTAGGATTTATGGGGCCCGATGGCAGCAGGGGCATGGGGAGAGCTATTGAAAGACATGATTTTATAATCTTCAGCAACAGTCACATTTTTAAAGCACGTTTTAAACCAAGCTCCTCTCGACTTACACGGTAAATTCAGAAACTCACAGGGGATACACCTGTTCATGGGCTTCATTGCCCCTTGAATGAGTGTGTCACTGTTCTGCGAACAGTTATGTCACGTCTAGGTTCTCTAGCTCGTCTTCAGAAGACGACTCACCAGGCTGCAGCAGCCACAGAACCGGGATGGGAAGAGGTGGGTGGGGGGACACTAAGACCCAGTGGTGCCCCACATTTTCAGGAGCCCTACGCAGCTGTATCGTCTGCGTATGGGTAAAAACAGCCCTGACTGCACCCCGGCCTTAGCTCAGCAGCTCTCTAGATTTTACTGCCTGGGCCTACAGCTTTTCCAGGGACAATGCCACCGGCTATAAGGACAGTGCTCACCAGTGGCAGGTGCTACAAAGGCTATCTCCCGCTTCAGCGAAGAGCACGAGATTGAACGACAGGTCGTGACACCCCCCAGGCAGGTCCAATTTCTCTCCCAGACTGCAGGGTGGAGCAAATTTTCCCACCGTTCCCTCCCCACATCCTGTGGCCACCGATGGCTCCCTTCCTGCGCTGTTAACAGGAGGCGGGCAGGGCAGGCTTCCACCTCAGCCCAGCCTCGTGCACCGCCAGTCCAGCCACGGAGAGCAGTGTTTCTTAAAGTGGCCCGTGGATCCGCGCCGAGAAAGCCGCTAACTGGCTGCAACGGTTTGTTTATTTACCAGCTCCGTAGCGGCTCCCATTGACTCCGTTTGCTGCCAAGGGGAGCCATGGGAAGCAGTGTCGGGGAAGCTGGAGCAAGCAGTGCATGGTCTGAAATACTAGTCAGGGCAGGCAGGCCACGGCCAAGCAACGGGGGCCAGCGTGGCTTGCCTGATTTCTTTGCTGGAGCTGGAAGGAGCCCAACTCATCTATTCGGGGAGCAGAAAGCAGAGCAGACAGTTCCCCCAGTCCTCAGAGATGCCTGCACTGCCCGGGGAAATGCTGGGAGTATTGTCCACAGCACTTTCTGCTGAAAGGAGCAGGCCAGCGGCTGGTTTTCTTCCCTTCCCCTTTTTTCCCCCTTTCCCTTTTTTTTCTTTTCTCCAAAGCTAAAACCATCCCTCCCAGCTCTTTCGATGCAGCGACCATAGCTGCCTCCCCCACACTATCTAGGTTGTCTCCATGACAACCCATCTATCCACCTAGCAGCACACCCACCGCTGCTCCCCCACAAACCCACGAGAACAGTGAAACACGGCATCCTCTGGGCCATTACAGCATCGCATCGAACAGCAGCTGCCGTCTATAGATCATGCCCACCTTGGCAGGATGTGCAGCAGGAAAGCAGCTGTCTGTTCGTAGCGGGGTGGTCGGGTGAAGGAAGTGACTGTCGATAGAGCACTACGTTTTATCTGATGGTGGGCAAAGGGCAGTAGGGAATTCGGGGCACGTCCATGAAGAAATTAATTAAAATGCTTCAAAACCAATACCCACAAAATGTTGAGGTTCCAATCTATTGCCAGGCTTAAAACGTGCAGGTTGCACCTCTATAAACCAGAAACCTGCCGGACTAGGGATGTTCCAGGATCAGAGAGTCCAAATGTGTTGCAGGAGGTGGGGGGTCTGGGAGCCCGGTGTGATGCTGGGGAGGGTGGGGTGAAAAGTCCAGCACGTGGCTGGGCAGAAGCTGGGAAAGCCAGCGCATGGGCCAGTTGGGCTGGGAGAGGGATGGGGGGGCAGGAAGCCTGGTGAGGCAGCAGACAGGTGGTGGGGCCAGCAGCAGAGGGACCAAAAATAAGCTCCTGTGGTCCAGCAAAACCCCTCCTCTGGGAGCAGTCAGGTCCCGAGGGTGCCAGACCAGGGAGGTCCAACCGGGACAAATTTATCTCCACAAAGGCCAGAGGGTACTTAGTCACTTGCTCACAAGAGCCCTAAAGAACTAGGGATGGGTACTGGGAACCTGAAGGGTGCATGGGAGCCGGCAATGCCTCCCATACTGGATCAGCCAGTCTCACAGGCCAGAGAGGCGATTTGGACTCTTACCAGGTCTCGTGCCCATCCGAATGCTGACGAACCTTTGGCCAGGAGAGAGGGGCTGTGGGCGGTGTAATCCACGACTTGCGAACGTCGATGTTAAAACTGCTCAGAGGCGGAACCGCTGCAAAAACAACATCCGGACGGTAACTCGGGGGGTTACCACTCACGACACAACCTCCTGCGTTAACGTCCCCCACCTACGGCGCCTTTCCCTGCTGGCTCCCTGCCCCACATGCAATGGGACTGCAATAGAAACCATTAACAGAAGCAAGCTCCCTCTTCTTGGCTTAGCTGAAATGGGCCGAACGAGGCCTTTCTTTGCCGGCTCCTTAGAAAACGGACACAGTCACTCGGGATCCTATGGTAGGACGCAGTGTGGCCCTGCAAACCTTCCCTTTCAATGACGGGATGCGTGGCCCCTACTCAGAGGCTCATCCAGGGCGGGAGGGCGTGTGATGACAGTGACCCTGAGATACAGACACAAGCTCATACCAGGCAGGACACAGAGCGCGTGCTGAGGGCGGGAAGGAAGGGAGGTCTGTGCGATTCTGGGGTAGGTTACGCACCGGGCAGGACCCCTGCACTTGATTAGTACCAAAAGGGCAGGAAATGCTGAAAACGAGATGCACGACAGCTGGTTCCCACTGCTGCTTGCTGTGGGCAAGAAACTTGTGGCCCAGGCAAGTGCTGCCTCGCAGACATGTCCTGTGTTGATGGATTCAGGGCGTGTGCAAGAGGCAGCTCACGTACAGCCTGAACAGTGGCAGGATTCGCGCCCCCACCATGGGGATAGCAACCTAGGACCCAGAGCTGGCTGGACCAGCCCCAGGGGGAGGAGATCATCGGTTTTCAGGGACATTCAGACCTCAGTCGCTCTGCTGAGGCTGCCACAAGCGCAAATTAGTGCCCCCCGACCCACAGAGGGACTGAGACCCCACAACTCATCTCACATAAGGTAAGGAACAGGCAGGATTCACTAGGGCTCCCTCGGAACTGGTGGCCTCCAGAGGACACACCTCAGCTGTGTCTACACTGGGCCACTTATTCCGGAAAATCAGCCGCTTTTCCGGAATAAGCTGCGAGCTGTCTACACTGGCCCTTGAATTTCCGGAAGCTATTCCGGAAAAACTATTCTGCTCCCGCTCGGGCATAAGTCCTTATTCCGGAACACTGTTCCAGAAAAGGGCCAGTGTAGACAGCCCAGTAGTCTTTTCCGGAAAAAAGCCCCGATCACGAAAATGGCAATTGGGGCTCTTTTCCGGAAAAGCACGTCTACATTGGCCACAGACGCTTTTCCGGAAAAAGGGCTTTTCCGGGAAAGCAGCCTGCCAATGTAGACGCTCCTTTTCCGGAAAAACTGAAAACGGAATAGTATTCCGTTTTAAGCATTTCCGGAAATTCATGCCAGTGTAGACACAGCCCTCCTGCTCTTCCCCTTCTCCTGGGAAGGTTTGTGCCAGCCAGCTGCCCAGTGACTTGCTATATTTCACGACATACAAATGTTGCATCTACTGGACTCTGCCACAGACCGGAACGTTAGACAATAGGCCCTGCTGAAAGACTCAGCGACTGTAGCTCTGTAAGGATAAATATGGTGCGTTCGGTTAGCGGGGGGTATTGATTCTGATGGCTGCTTCTTCAGATGCAGCAGGAGGGGCCAATTCTACTGGCCCTCTGAGCCACACACAACAAGCGTCAGAAGCCTGAGCACTACAAGACACACACAAGCTGTCCTGGGGGGGCACAGGGCTTCTGCCCTGAGGGCTAAATCCCCTAGTCCAATGGTGGGCAACCTGCAGCCCGTTGGGGTCCGCCTGTGGCCCACAGACCTCCCCACCTGCCCCCATTCCCCATATACGTGGTGCACGAGGGGCATCAGAGCCCCACGTTTCCTACCCCCCCTTCCCTCCCAGCACTTTCCAAGGAGCCACAAATCTTCCACTCCTCCCCCTCTCCCAGAGATGGAACAGGGCACGCATCAGGCAACTCATGCACCCGAGAAAGGGGAAGGAACAGGTCAGTGCAGGACTCCAGTGCCCCAGTGCAGGAGAGGGGGAAAGAGGCGGGCGGGGGACAGACAGGGGGCCGCAGGTGCCCTGTTACACTGATATATAGACACAAAGCACGCCAGGTCTCTCAGCGTGGGAAAGTTTTAGGCCTTGCTTCATCCTTCCTCAGTCATTCAGCGAATGGCGTAGAATTGCTGCCTTGGTGGCAGGACACACAACCCTGCTCTGCACCCTGCCCCTGCATTAAAACATCTGACTCCTGCATTCAGGCATCAATAGCACCTAGCGTGACTCCAAGCGCTGCTGGCCCCACTGGGTACAACCCAACCCGGGGGAGTTGTTTTGAATTAAACCCCGACCTTGAGCCTTTCTTGCCGGTTTCTACCAGACAGTCTCTAGTTTTGCTTCTCCAACTGTCAGAATCAGGAAGCCACAAACCAAATTGTTAAAGTGACATGGCTCAGATGAGGCTGTTGTGACAGGGCAGGCACCCTGCACTGGCCCTTTAAGGGCAAAACCCGGCCCGGAGCAGGGGCTGGAAGTAAAGACCCAGCGGAGGCTGTTCTGGCTAATGAGGGCCCACCTGGGGGAGCGCGGTAAGGGGCTGGCAGCTGAGGAAGCAGGAGGCTCACAGGAGCTAAAGCAATGCTGGGGCAGCAAGGCAGGGCTAGGGGAGCTCCAGCCAAGTGAGCTCCCAGGCTGGAGCAAGGCCCGGGGCTAGGAGGGCTGTAGCGAGGCAGTCCTGGTAAGTGGGGGCAGTAGGTCCACACCCCCTCGCTGGAGATGAGTGGCCCTTACAGATTGCAGTGGGTCACTGCGGCAGGGTGCTGAGGCAGCCCCCCCCCCCAGCTGTATTATAACGTGCAAACTTGTCGAAATCAATCGAGGTACATTGATAGATCATTGGCAAACATGGCTCCTTGTCAGTACTCGGCAGTAAATACGTAAATACTTTACTGCCTCTTTCTGAACTCAGTTATACTGGTGTTAATCTGGTGTTAATTTCACTGACCTACAGGCCATTCCTCAAGATTTATGCCAGATCAGAACCTGGCCCTTAGAGAGCATACACTCACTACAGGTAACTAACTGGTACTGAATATGTAAGCATATATTAAATGCATGGGGAGTAACCAGTACAGAATCCTACAAGTTAGAAATACAAACACTGTAACTGCTAAACTCGCTACCTGTGCTGAGTCCTGGCAGCCCTCCCGGATTTCCAGTGACACACGACAGACCTTAGCACCCTGGAATCACAATTCATTCCTGGAGAGGGATGTGGCAAAAAGGAAAACGGGCCCCGTGATGTGGGTAGGTGCTCTTTGTAGCAACCATGTACTGCAGTTCTGGTTATTTTGTGACTACTAAGAATTTGTCCCCATTGGCAGAAGGCTTTGCTCCTTCACACGCCTCAGCTTGTGTATTGGTTGGAAACAAAGAAATCATGCAGAAATGAATGTTCAGCAACCTGTACGTGTATAACTCTACTATCTATTACTAGAAGACTTACCCAGCGTTGCCCAGATCCAGGGTTGGCCTGGAGCGGCAGGGGCTGCGTGTCTCACCCACCAGCTTCTCCCTAGGACTAGCCCAAGGGGGGTGGGGGCATGTAGGCCAGCCACCAGCTTTTCCTCAAGGCCAGCCTGGGGTGGCAGGGGGGAGGGTGCACAAGCTTCCTACCAGCTTCTCCCCAGGGCCGGACCAGGGAAAGAAGGGCCTCACAGGCCACCTGCCAGCTTCTCCCTGGGGCCAGCATGGAGTGGCAGGGTCACGTGGCCTAGATAGTGGCCACTCCCCGGAGCAGGCTAGTATGACAGGGGCCATGCTGCCAGCCAGCAGCTGCCCCCTTGTGGTCATTCCTGAGTATAACTGTCCCTCCTATCACACCCCTCCCTTTCCATTTGCTGTGAAACAATCACATTCCACGCTCATCCCATTGCCCTGGCACAACCCAACCCTGACCTTGCTTTCTAGTTAGGATCAAGGAAGCTGCATGTCAAATTTGGTAGCTCTAGCTCTTACCATTTAGGAAGAGTTCTTGAACAAGCAGACTCACAGATGGATGGACACACAGACATACAGGCACGCAAACTCTCTAAAATATATAGGGGATTATTATTCAGATTAATCCTGTATTTAGGCCCAGCTGTGCGGGGTGGCCAAAGCCCTAAGTATTGTTATTAATCCATGGCCCACAGTCAAATGCAACATGAGTTCTACAAGTTCTCCCTCTTGATAACAGAAGCGCTGCCTGCAAATCCCGACACACAATGGACTGTTTTTATCCAGCCGGCCAGGCTGGAGCAGTGAAAGTTGAGCCTCATGTGGCCCATAGGGACTCCATCAGTATTGTAGAGGAAGGTGACTCCAATAGACTTATTTTTAGGCAAGTGAGTTGTGGCTTTCAGGCCCCGATAAATTGCTGGTGTGACCTTCAGTTGGGGGAAGAGTTGGACAACCCATGGGTCACTGTACAAAGCAAGACAAGAACCGAAGAGAAACTTCACTCTGGCAGTTGAACCAACACATTGTCTGTTGTCAGCTGATTTTTATTTAAACCAACATAGCAGGGGAGAGTTTTTAAGGCAGGATGGTAAGAGAACTAAAGGGGCCATTTTGAGGTGCTTTACAAAGAGCTCCCTCCAAACGGGAGGGCCGGCGGGCTTCATAGGCATGGAGCATTGACATTTCAAAAAGCAAAGAGAAGATCGGGTGGAGATGGGCCATGAAGGCCCCTGAAAGTGATGTCACCAGCAGCTTCTGTTTGATGCAAGAGAAAAGAGGGACCCATGGGATGGGTTCAAAGAAAGGGGTGATATGAGCAATGTGATGCGTGAGGACAGTGATCCTTGCAGCCCCATTCTGAATGGATAGGAGTGGGGCAAAATTGCATTGGTCAACAGTCAAGAAAAGGACATTGTGTAATCAAGACACAAAACAATGAGCACCTTGGGCAAACCTTTTACCTGAGTGGGGGGGATAGGAAACCCGTATTGTCGATATCACCCAGAAAGATTTAGAAATGGCCTGAATGCAAGGACCTTCTATCATGCTGTGTCCCCAAAGTTAGGAGCAATCTCATCCAACCCACCTTTTCCTTCCCATCATC